AAGTATTCTAAAAAAGTTTCGCATTCAGCAGATGATCAAGTTTTCTTAGTTAAGTAAGTGGTTAGCGCCATTTCTTCATTTTTATATTTCTTTTTTCAGATTTTCGAGCAATAGCCAGTCACTCTTTTAATTACGTGGGGACGCGAAAACGAACAACACAAACGAGAACAATAACCGCGCAACTATCGAACGCAACATAAGATTAGCATCGCTTTTCTTGGCCCGTACAATTATGCTACGAAGACGCTGTTTACGGTTATATTAAGTTCGCTACATGTTTAATATTTAGATAATAGGCATTTTGGCAGTGTTTCATAGCATATCATAAACCGCTTCGAAGCCAGTCACTGGCAAATAGACATTATTTAACACTTGCACGAGCCAGTGGTAGCAGTTGCATTGGCCAGTGGCAGCACTTGCACTGGTCCAGTGGTGGTGGTGATTTGGTTTTTAAGGGCGCGTCGGCATCCAGGGCCATTTTGCGCCCAACACTGGCCAGTGGTAACACTTGCACTGACCAGTGGTAACGGGTCTGAAAGCGACATCACTGACTCGGTATCTTTCCGGCTCACATCGGCTTCCAAAGACGAGCCGACTGATCCAATTGATCCGGCACCGCCTTCGCTTGAATCACTTGTTTGAGCCGTGACAGAAATTGAGCTCGTTCCCTCTAGCTGTGGCAGTCTGTTCAGGTCCTTTGTTGGCCTTATCCCACAATGTATCCACACCACGTCACCAGCGGTAAATCGTGGGTCATTCGCACTCAGGATGAGATGATCGAATAGGTTCTACCACTTGTTTCACTATTTTCCTCTTGGGCCGTAAGTGTCATGTAGGTAATGTTCACGATGTAGCGAGTACAAAACTTCAATAATAAAAAAAAAATGGGACCACCGAAAGTTTGTGGCATTATTGCGAGCTCATCGATGTGCAGCTTTATGGGGTTTGAAACGTTCCACTGTAAGTTATGGGCCATCAAAAAAGGGTCTGCAGCATAACCTCTCGAAACTGCCCGAACGTAAAAAACGGTTACCCTTATTCGAAAAGGTTTAATATTTGAACAGGCGTTTTCATGGCCTCGGATAACCCGGTGGACGAACTTGGGGATTTATTATTTTAAAACAGGAGTGTGTACCGCCGTGGTTGAGTTGTCTTGGAATGCTCCTGATGTGAATACAACACTTTGTGATTGGCTCAGCGGGCAGGGATCTGCTGCCGAGAAACGGATTGGTCCAAATTTAAACCAGTGCATGCCATGGGTCATCTGATACCCCCAGGAAAGATCCGCTGTGGTAAACGTCATACTGAGAGTGTACCATACGCCGTACTAGGGAATATGTCAAAACATAGTGCAACGTTTCACTTAATTTGCGGGATGACCGCGTGATGTTTTCGAATCTTTTGGTCTAAACAGAATGTTTCAAGATTTATTGACATTTTTTGCACAAACGTTTCGACATATTAGTGTGTTGCAAACATTACAGAACACAGTCGTTGGAAAAGCAAGGTAAATGAAATGTGTTACTTTCAATGTGGTGAGTAGGGAGTCAAATGAAACATCTCCTGCAGGGTCGGCTACTTTGAGCCGAAATTCTGAGCTACTCAGAAGGAACTGGAGAAAACTGTACTGTTGATCGAATCGTACACGTCTGGTGTAGCAATAAACCGAAGTACAAAAAGGTGGGATCATTCCTTTAACAAATTTCTCAGACGCATTCTGACCAGCTACCAATTGTTATTGCTACCAACAGCCAGCAATTGTAGTCGCTGTCATTGAACTTAAACGACGCATCCAGCTGCTGTGGCCATATAGTGTCACAACTGCCACCGACTCATTGCCCTTCATTAGCAGCTTGGCTTACATCTTATTGTATCATCGTATAAAGCTATGACACAAACCATACACCTCAAGTTCTGTGTCCATTTTTTTACCCTAAATTCTCAAAGCACTATATAAGCTTAGTGAACAGGAAAATTCACGTGCGGATTGTATTAAACGACATCAAACTGATCCAATACACCATATTCAGGGCACCTCCTTGAACTACAGCCAACCATTAGAAGGTATCAGTGGCATTTGAATATCTTGATACTCTTTTAAGACCTCGATAATGCATAAGTGAACATATGCATAAGTAAGCTTTTTTTAATGTTTCTTCAAATGCACATGCAACTTGTTCATCGTGCCTTGCTTTCTGCCCACGTAATATTATTGGGTAATTGTAGATTCTCCCCCCAAAATAGCTAGAGAACGTCAAAACGTCCGCCCCGCTTATTCTTTTATTTTTTACACGCATTTGAACGCATGCTAAGAAAACCACAAGACACACACGCACACACATGACAGTTGCAGTCAAAAACCGCCGCTGTCGGCGCCACTTCGCGACCTGCCGCGGCTCATCACGAGGAGCGGCGCCGGCGCGGCATAAGGCAGCCACTGACCCCTCCCCCCCCAAAAAAAACATACACTCACAGCAGACCACAGACCATGCCTCACGAACACGAAAGAACGGGACAATTGCGAATGAGGCTTTAGTGTCGCCTTCCATACATGTCACCTATTGGACAGCCGAACATCTCGCCATCTGCGTTCAACTTTGTTCAGTGTCCTGGTCATTGTGGCCGAGACGTACTCCGCATTCCATTCCTCGATTAATTTTATAGAAAATACGTATTGGCATTTCGATATAATATAATTAGCAATCAAGACACACAAGTTGATTAACGCTCTGTTATTCCCGCAAAGCAAGACTTCCTTGGCTCTTACAATCTGCCACGGACCCAGCAAGTCATTGCCTGCAAGATATTGCGATATTGTGCCCCCAAAACATTTTACTATAGCACACGTCCAGACACTGAGCAAGCCAGATTCCTTGTGTGCATGGCGCTTGAGGCGCACGGCCGAACTCACTAGCCCAATCATTCGTGAAATAATATTAGTAGTGAACATTAAATCTCTCCAATCCTTCGTAAAAGAATATTGGAGTGTGAGACGAAGCCATGCATCTCGCAAATAGGCTCTCAGGAAATAAAATAATTGAATTTAGGATCACAGCAAATTGCACTCACCTAGGGTCAGGTATAAAAGTCGAACTGTTGCCAAAACCAGTCTACTCTTTTACTCGAGAGATTGATGAGTGGATTTGCTTCTGGTATAGAATTTATCAATAACAGGGACCGCAACATAATTATCCATAGACTTCTTACAGGTCAGAGTAGGCTGCTGATCTAAAATGACACACAACATTTTGTTTTTAGGAACATTCCGTCTAGCGGAATGCTTGACGCTTATTCAAATGCAAAAATCAAAACAATCTCGTAGCACTTTGGTCACCGTGACCTTTAAAAGGTCAAACAAGATGAATGATCTGAAATGAACCTCAGTGATCTTTTGCTTTAAACAGGTGTCTAAGGTCACGGTGGTTGCATGAAGAGGCCTGTGGGGCGTTTTGGGCACCAATTTGACCTTGACACCTACCGACTTTTTACAAATGTGACGTTATCTGACCTTGTTATGCCAAAAAGTCATGACCCAGGTGTCTCAAATTTTGATAACAGTGAGTTAACATACAGACCAACCCAGTCTGTTCGTTTTGTGTTTCTAGTTCTCTTATTTTTAAGATATCAGCGGGGTCAATTTGACCC